AGAAATGAGAGAAGTTGGAAACCCAATGATTAAATAGTTAGCGCGTTCGTCTTGAAATCTGGAGTTCCTGCATCCAATCCCTGTCCGTGTTGTGAGAGCGTACTGCTGAGGAGTCCTATGATCAGTGCTTCCAAGTTTCCAAAAGGGTTCTCCAAATAATATTCAGTGATGAACACTATCACAAAACAATACATACGTAAATTATTACAGTGCTAGTAGGTTATGCTGTGAAGAAAGAGAGATAGCGGTTGAGCTAAAATATCTCTCAAGTCCGCCAAATTTGGATCATAAAGGTCAGTTATCCACATCACTTTTAACGTTTCAATCAAATCGATTGATGAGTCTAATTTGAATCTCGGTAATTGCAAAGCAATTTGAGTAGGCTGGAGTTTCTCCATCGAACCGGGTAATTTAACTTCACCTCTAATAATTTTGTCAGGATATTGAGTTTTTCCTGTTTTCATGGTAGAATAATAACAAATATGAATCTAGGGTTCTGAGGTGATAAAAATCCAAGTATTGGCCAAACGTTCAATCAGTATACTTGGTTTACTCAAAAAGGATACACAAATTATACGGTAAAGGTCAGTATATTATAGTAACATTATTAAAACTTCAAATATTGGGAATGTCATTAACTTTTATTCCTCCTACAATTGCTCATGAATAAAATTCTTTCAATGAGGAAGTAGCCTCTTTCATCTATCAACGCAGCATCGTTTCAACTACAGGCTCCACAGGCACAGACGAGGATGTCAAAGCCAACCAGGATCGGAAACACAACAAGACAGGCGTTCATTAGCCTGAAACCAGTGTGCAGATCTTCTGCACTGCACTCAGCATAAAGCGTGAAAAACATCCAGATTTTCAACACCAATCTAGTCAAGCCAGTGCTTCCATGTAATAATTCAGAAACTTGGCGTGTCACAAAAAGCATTTCCAACAAAATACAGATATTCATCAACAACTGCCGTCTACGCTCACTCATTACTGACACTGAAGATCAGATGGCCAGAATAGTTAGAATAAGCAACAAGGAACTGTGGCTGGCTGTCAATGAACCAACGAAGCAAGAACCTATCACCAAACAAATATGCCGAAGCCGAAAGTGGAGATGGATTGGAGTGAGCATACACTGAGAAGGCCGACTGGGGACATTAGGCTCCAAGTCAGGCACTCGAGTGGAGCGCAGATGGTAGACGACGAGTTGGGCGTCCTAGTTGAGGGTGACATGGAGGAGATGGTGTGAGGAGGAGATGAGAGTTTGTGGGTAATCGTGGAATCAGGTTCGAAAGATTGCAGAGAACAGAGTGGAATGGAGATGTGCTACTGAATCTCTATGTTTCACCAGGAACCCAAGGGAAAAATGAAAATAATAATTTCAAGTAGATTGTATAGATTTTGTGTTTGCCATATACTTAGTAGCTAGCAGTAAACTCAAAGAGGCTGGTTTCGTTCTATTTTGGACTCGTTGGTTGGACGTACTTGTGCCTCATGTAGTAGGTTTATCCCCATCAGGACTCGAACATCTTACACATCTCTTCAAGCGCCGAGTCGCTACCGACTAAGCCTCTGGGGTACGATAGTCATCTGTTATGCAGTGGGTATAATTTGTTATTCAATTGATAATTTTGATCTTCCATTGTAGAACTGAAGCGAATTCCTGGACCTCATCATTGACTGGTCACTGAAATTGGACAACCTCATGTTTTCTAGTCCTGAGTGCTGATCGGATTCTATCCATCATTTCGTAATATGGCCACCAAGCGAAGAAGCTCATCATTATGGTACACTTTGATGAGTTTCAGTTGGATGGAGGTATTCGGAAGGAAGCCTTGCTTGACCTAGGTTTGGTGCTTGTTGGCACTCGTCAGCAAGGCGTACCTGTAATCTCTACGGAATTGATGCCCCCCCCCCTGAGGTCAGAACCCGAATCATCCAGTGTTGAAGTCAGTGGTGCTATCACTAAGTTATTCGGGCTACGACTGACCTCATTTAGAACTGAGTTAGGTGATATGGGTTCCAATCTCAGGCAAGACATCGTTTCCGTCGAGATTCCAGATACGTCATGCTGACGAGTGCCGACATGCATAAAACCTAGGTCCATCAAGACTTCTTGCTGATTACCTCAATCAGATTATAATTGAATGCATTATCCTTGCAGCTACTGGACAGCCTACTTGATTCACACATACATAGAACTGGAAAAAAACAACGATATCTATCAGTACAGTTCCAATGTTAATAAAGACTTTGGTCATTTTAGAAGATTGTAATTCTATATTCGATTAGTCTGTTCAATGTGGCAAATTGTGACATAACATTTTTCCCTAGATAAAGTTTTGGCCATAGCTAAACATTCATACTTCTGAGTTTTATTCTTTCATTTGATTGGTTGTAGGATTCCTCATACATCTGAAACCGATACTAAGCCGTGCTTACTGTATGTTAGACGTTGGAACGATGAGTAGAGGTTCAATGATCAATGTTTCGAACATTATTTGTTGTCAGTTGTCATATTTACTAAAGCGCTAAGTTTTTACTCCACTATTCGCCACCACTGACATTTTATATTTCCTCCCCGTTGAGTAATAAAACCGAACTGGTCACTTTGTATCTGCTTATGGGGTACTTTGAAAATGCTCTGACAATTTCTATGGTCAAATTCACTGATAACTCATAATGAACAAGTACATGAGATCTCAATCTCCCACTGTTGACCTCCATAGCGTGACTGTCACCCAAGGTCTTCAGTTAGCATCCACTTCACTTCCGACTGGTCGATCCCACAGGTCATGGCTTCTCACTACAGCTTCGTGATATCCATCTAGAAGCAAGTCACTAATAAGCACTATACACTAATGTGTTGTTGAGATGAATGGGGAGAAGTCTCATACTAGGATGAAACAGCTGTCCAGTGCTCTCAGATTTTCAATGGTTCCCCAAATGATATCCGTCCATGATGAATACTACTTCTAAATTAAAAATCCCCATTCTTATAATTATCACCATCATTGTTGGTCCTTGAATTTTCCATTGCTTAAATATAATTTTCCTGACCGACAGAAGTCTCGGTAATCTGTTTAAGTGTTTAGTTTGATAGATAAACTATCATTGTGACCATTTGAGATAGCCGTGGCTTGGCAGACTAGTATTGATACCGGGTGATGATTGAAAGTATAAATACTAGTCTGCTAAACTACGGTTATCTCAGATAGTCAAATGATAATCAATATAATGCTCTTCCTCTCTGATTCAGTAAGATTTGAATTGGGATGAGAAGTCCTGACTAGGCAGCCAGTGTGAATACGATTCGGGGGTAGTAACGCATCACGAATTCACATGGTAGTCGGGCAAAACCCTTGTGGATTGAAGTGAAATAAAAATCTGGACATCAGTCAGACCTCGTAGCTCAGTTGGTGAAGCACCTGTCAAGAAACTCGACGGTCGCTGGTTCAAATCCAGTCACTGTCCAAATTTCCATTTCACCTCCAATCAAGAACCAATACTGCTAGTTAGATCGCAAACTGAAATGCTTGTGGTGTTTTTCTCTTCTCTTTCCATTTACAAAAGATTATTTTTACTGAAGTTTCTTTCTCATATAAAGCTTAATATCCTGTTCGATTCCTGGAGTATTACCGAATTAATGGTTTGTTGAGTGCTATATACATCTGAAATACGGTCTTTCAGTCATATTTACGTCAATGGTCTCCTTCTACTGTTTGCATGTTCGCTGATTTAACTAAATTAAACATGGTCAGCTTTCCCAGTCTTCTTTAGGCTCGGTTGATAAAATGACCGAACGGTTTAGTAACACATAACAATATCACCCTTCAGTCGGAAATCTACTGAAGATTCATTGATGAAGAGAGGGTCTTACTCCAGTTCTCTGTCCACCACCAAGTTCCTGGTCAGAACTCGTCTTAGTGGGTATCATTATCCAAGAACCTGGTAGATTGGTTCCCTCATCAACCAGGAAACATTGAAACAACTCATCCTTATGAAAACGAGTACTCCTACCAGAGCACTGCGCTAACGCTTCTCACTACAGTGTCACAAGGGCTAAATCTGGGGTCAAGGCTAGAGTGAAGGACACATGTCATTCCGGAACGAATATTTCTCCCACTTTTGCAAAGCTGACCATACCATCTCTCTTCGAATCGCTTCAACAACAGGGCCCCCCAGAATTCGGAAGCTGAAACCCCGCACCCACAGGCTGGACTGATCCTAGTGCACTGGGACAAATCCTGACAGTTGCCACTGACCTGTGCAGATGGATCTTGCCATTTGTGTCTATTGTCAGATCAACTATGCAGGGTGAACTGGTTAGCGTCCAGCAGAACAACAGGGTATACACACTGTCGGGGTGCAAATAGACTCATCTAGTAACCACCGGTGTACACATCGCCTCCAGTTTACCTGGCCAGCAGCCTATACACCGACACCATTCAACCGCACCATGTAGAGCCTATTCAAGCTGATGCCCTGGCATTTAACTATATCCGGCCATTTGGACACCTTTAAGAGTCATAGTTATACCTGGCAAAGTAAGTAATTAAGTAGGGATTAATTCATGAATAACTCAGCTTTATACAGCATCCTGCATGTCACCCATGATGAAGAGAATCTGAATTACAGCTTTCGCACTCCAGGATGTACCTACATGGAGGCTGTAAACTGTGACACATAATATTGAAAATGCACTGCTAAGTTGTTCATGCCCCAGCGGCCAACTGTGGAACGCTCAGATGATTGAAGTCATGCATATTAGGTTGAATTTCCAGTGGGAACAATATCACTCACTGGAGGCTCTCTTGTTATACAAACAAATTTCAGTTAGATATACTGGTGAATATTTAGAGAAGTTATAAGATGTCTTTGTGATTTGAATTTTATTGGTGAATGACGTTGAAAAATAGCTGATTAATATAGGTAAATTTAACTGCAAAGTTATAGGAAATATTTGGAAAGTTGTCTGAACTTGACTGGAAATGTATTCTTCATTTGTCATTGGATATTATAACTGGTTTAATAACACGACCAGCGAACAATGGAGTTCCCAGTATTTTGTCGTATATAAAACAGACAAATGATTCATTGACAATGAAGTGAACACGCGGCGGCGGTTGCATACTCCTCACACCAACGCTGAGTATATTTGCAGCTGAAGCTTCTACTCCTTCCTCATTGACTTTGAGAGCTGTACTTTGTTGAAGTACATCGGCGTAGATTTTAGCCTCAGTTATACCTACAATTAGTAACAACAAAATAAGACCTATTAATATTATTATTTGTCTGTTGGATTCCCAGTGGAATATAAAGCCTCAGTAGCACGTCACCATTTCACTCTCTCTATACAGTCTTCTCAAACTGGCTCCAACACTGCTCACATACTCTCATTTCTTCCTCACACCATCTCTCCAGTGTCACCCACGACTCACACGACCAACTCCCCGTTCGCCGTTTCGCTTCCACTCAACGGTCTGACCTCGCCTGCCTGACACGCGATGTCCACAAATGGTCTTCTCAGTGTGTGCCCAATTCAATCCATCTCCACTTCTTTCTTGTGCATATTTGTTGGATGATGAGTTGTTGGTTGGTTCGTCGTCAGCCAGTCAGAGTTCCTCCTTGCTTATTACTATTATTCTGACCATCTGATCTCCATCTTCACTGTCAGTATTGAGTGAGTGTAGGCGGTAGCTGTTTGTTAGAAATGCTTTTCGTAAGGTGCAAATTCTCTCAACCATCACGTAAAGCACTGACTTGATTGAGATTATTGTTGAAAATCCGGTTCTTGTTCACGCTTTATGCTGAGTGGAGTGGAGTGGAGTGGATTAGATCTCCACACTGATTTCAGATTAATGCAGGAATGTCTGTTTTGCTGTCATTCCGATGTTGGCTCTGACGTCCTCATCTGTGCCTGTGCCACCTGTAGTTGAGATGATGCTGCCTAGCTGGGTAGGTGAAAGAGATAACTTGCTTTATATTTCTCTCGTTGATGGTGGCTGGTGTTTGTTGCTGTTTTTGTTTGAGTATCTTCATCAACTCTGTGTTCTCTACGTTCACCTGAAGGAAGCTTCGTCTTTACTGCCTCACCTCCTCTAACAACTTCATGATTTTTGTTTAATATAAGAGTAAAATTGTACACTTAGTAGAATTTAATTCCTTGTTTATTGATATGTTAGGTTTATCACACGGTGAATAAATAGTAGTGTTTACTGGATCACGTTCCAGACATAATTTGTTGTCCATAGTCATATCAAGATAACTACACAACTTTGAGATATCCTTTACATAGTCCTAATTCCGTCATCTCTTTATGAGATGGGTAGTAAGATTTTCCATATATCCGGAATAGATGTGTAGTTATCTTGAAATGACTATGTCCGAAACGTAATCCAGTAAACAATACTGTTACACTGTGTGATAAAACTAACAAAGAAATAATATGGAATTGTTGGTTTTTGCCTGTAGTTCTTCGAATTTGTGCAACAAGACATTAGACATAAACCATCATTGGCGAAATCCAAATCTTCCAGGGTCTAACAAATAAGATACATTTGAAAAGGCTGTTAGTCAAGTCATGAGTTGAGAGAGTTGGTCACCACTGAATGATGTTAGACAGATAAATTTGAACCTGGCGATGGAACAACAAGTTAATCACAATGAACTCTGACTCTTTTGGGTTCAGCCGGTTGCAAAGCTGTCGATCACATCACAGAGGATCAATAAAGCAAGATGAAGCAGTTGTGCAGTATACCCAGATTTTCAGTGATTCTTCAAGTGGCAATAATGTGCTATGAAAAAAACCATTTGGGTAGATGAATGTTGGATCTATAAAGCATGTAACATGAATTCTGAATTAACTGACGTACTCAGCATGATTTCAGCTAGGTGATAATTTTAGAATAAAATGCACCGCGAACATGTTATGGTTTCAGATTGGTATTCATCATAGATTGACAATAGTTGGAGGAACATTGAAATCTGACAACACTGGACAGCTGTTTAGTCCCATTATGGGACTCCTCTACAGTGTACAACCACGACCTCGCCACAGATCAAACCCAAGTCCACTGGGTTCTATCGTCATCATGTTACTATTGAGTCACTGTGTCGGAATCCGATGGTCTATATTTCTTAATTCTGTCAGTTCACGATATAGTGTGACCTGCATTTAATGGCTTCGTTGAGTAAGTGTTATAGTTTAACAAGTGAGTATTTGCAATATGTGAAACACTCACCTTTCATATCTGCAAGAACTGAGTCAAATAAATCAGTTATACCCAACATTCCTAATGTTTCAATTAGATCAAATGATGAATCCATTCTAAATCTTGGTAATTTCAAATAAACTTGAGTAGGATGAAGTTTCTTCATCAAATTTGGTAGTTGAACTTCACCACGTAGAAATCTTTCAGGATATTGAAGTTTTCCAGATTCAATTGGTAAGATCACAACAAATGTGAATCGTGGATTCTGAAATATTCAAAACATTGATACAAATGGAATTATTATTAGTCAACACTGAGGTTTATTCTATTAGACAGACTAGTTTCTTAATACTTTATCAGTGAATAACGATATACTACAGTTGTTCGAGATGTTGTAACTCTTGGGTGTATTGTATTCTCTGAGCTTGGTTGTTTAATCGTGGAGCTTTCATCGTATTTCTAGACCACATCATCATCGACTAAAATAACAACAACCCAACAACACACAAGATCAGTTGCATGCTGACTCTATTCAGAGGAGCGACAACACACTGCAATACAACAACTTCATGGAGAAAAGAAGAAAATTACTTGATGTCTATACTAAGGAAGAAAGGCTACAGGCGAAACTTTATCAGAAGATACCTACTGAGTAAAACACCAACTACAAAGCCATCGACGGACATTAACAAACGCATCATCAGAAATCACGGAAAGATTACTAAGACCACTTGGAGGAATTTGTGTGGCTCATAAATCAACGAATTCCCTAAATACACTATTATACAGACCAAAGGAAGCAACAACTGAATATCATTTACAAAATCAACTGCAATAATACTGGTCAACACTACACTGGACAAAATGTCCGCCCTCTTCGCTTTCGTTCACATGAGCACCAGTTGGCTATTATACTTCGAGACATCTCATCACTCATTTCAATACACGTGGATAACAACTATACACATGAATTCAATCTCGACAATGCAGAAATCTTGGGGACAGAGAGATGAAACACAATGAATATCAGAGAACTCCTACAAGCTTGACATTCAGGCCAGTCAGTCACCAATCAACAGATGTATAGACACACACCCAATCTATCAACCAGTGAGGAAAATGACAAACGACAGAAAGGTTAGAGGTGAATCAGAGGGACAGCCAACAGGAAAATCTGTTCAGTTGGTCAGTAACAGTCAGACCACATGTTCAGGACATCGTCAGGACTAAATCAATCACGGAGTGATATTAACAGGTCACTTCCTACTGAAGTTAGTGCTGATGATGATGTCTCTGTCTATAGAGATGATGAAAGCTTCACCACTAAACAACCCAACATACAGAACACAATACTACTAAGACCATCCACCTGAGCTACAAATATTCTCCACTAGTTGCAACTCTGTCTGTCTGACTGTTGTCGATTAAGCTTACATCAAGTTATGCCTTTCGTCCAACGAAGTTCTTTCTCGTGGTGATCACGTTGGTAATCTCCATTGGCGAACACCTCAACATTACCTGTATACTCATTATTTTTGATAGCCTACAAGTTTTCGCTGTCACCTTTCTGATATCCATCGGGTAAGTCGACATTATCATACTATTATTATATTATATTACATATATTATATAATTAAAAGCAGTTGCCTGCACAGCCTGTCTTAACACCGTGCATGTCACGCCGCCTAAAAGCAGAAAGATCATATCGTCTGCTGAGAAGACAAAAACCGCAACAGATCCATTCATTTATTATTATTATTATTATTATTATTATTATTAGTCCCTTGGGTTCCTAGTGGAACATAGGGCTTCAGCAGCACGCCTCCAGTGACCTCTGTTCTCTGAGATCTTTTGAACCTGGTCCCACGACAGCCCACAACCTCTCATTTCCTCCTCGCACGACCTCCTCCATGTCACCCTCAGACGTCCAACTCGTCGCTTCCCATGGGGATTCCACTCGAGGGCCTGACGCGTGATGTCCTCCGTCGGCCTTCTCAGTGCATAGCCAATCCATCTCCACTTCTTCCTGCATATTAGTTGCGTGATAGGTTCTTGGTTGGTTCGTTCCCAGAGCACCTTGTTGCTTATTTTTTCTGGCCATCTGATCTTCAGCAGCGAGCGTAAGCAGTTGTTGATGAATGTCTGTAGTTTATTGGAAATACCTTTCGTGACGCGCCAAGTCTCTGAGCCATACAAGAGCACTGACTTTACGTTGGTGTTGAAAATCCGTATCTTGTTCCGCATGCTGAGTGCAGAAGATCTCCACACTGGTTTCAGGCTAATGAACGCCTGTCTTGCTTTTCCGATTATCCATTCATTTGGCAAGTATTTATATGAAGATATACAAGGTCTACATAATATGAGTTGCCTGATCAAGTTGGTGATGGAAAGACCAATTCCATACATCATTAGTCTAGCAAGGTTCTCAGTCTCCGAATCCATCGTCATTGGTCAACTGGTTAAGAACACAACAGACACCATCAGTTAATCATACACATCTGATACAGTTAAATTTGTAATATTGTCAATCACCTATCCGAACCAGCTGTCATTCAACCCGATTTTCAACTTCTTTCCATCACAATCACCTATACGTTGTTGATTTTGTGGGGCTTAACTCACAAACATTTCGAATAGTATTCATTACCCTGTTCTGCTATTCCATTGCTTATGTATGTAAATATTCGGTGTCAGTTGGTTGAGAGATAATCATTAGGAAACTTCACTTTACCAAGGTCTTCTTCTTCTTCTTCTTGTTACTCATCAGCAAGGCGTCTCTCCAACCTTAACAGAACTGATGTGACATGTATGATTGAAACCCATGTCAATTTATGTTGCAGTCACAGACGATACCATCGAAATTTCCGAGTTGTGACTAACCTTCTGTAGGAATGGATTAGCCACACTGATTGATCACTGGAGAGTAATCAACTTCATGTTTTGTAGTTCTATGTCCTGATCGAATTCTACTGATAATTTCGCAGTGCAACTGCAAGGCTAAGAGGCTGAGCATCGTGGATCACTTTGACGGATGTTATTTGGATTGTGGTGATCACCAGGAAGCCTTGCTTAGTCCAGATTTTGTGCTCATCAGTAAGATGCATCTGTAACCTGACAGAAACTGATATCCCCTCAAGATCAACACCCACGTCATACAGTGCTGCAGTCACAGGAGTTAGCATTAGGCATCTTCGACCGGGAGTGAATATGCAGTGTTTTGTTACTATGGCAGGTGATGGTAAGAAAGAACTGTCAGTAAGTGACTGATACCTCACATAATTTGTTTTGTTGAATGAATGTATTCATATTGCTGGGCTTTCCTTCACCTGCTGTAAATGACCTTCATGGGAACTACGAAGTACTCAGCCGATAACAGATTGCTTTGTTGTCATCTCTAAATTAGTTAACACCTATGGTCATCCCGTTTTTGTGATACTTCACTCATATATGCTATTGAAGGTTAACAAGAGGAATCTTTCACAATACACCTGTTTGAATATGAATAATTCAGTCTACTACACCACTGTCAATGGTGTGGCAGTATCCTTCAAGCAATTCGAAATCACAGTTTCGTTTACTTGTTTTTAATCCCAGATATTTCGTACTTTTTATTGCCAACAAGAAGTCAAATTTACAAGGACTGTTTCACAGTTTTCACCTTTCCTTCTTTATTCTGTTGATCATTCTTTTTCGTAAATGCCTAGGACTTCAAGAAAGTGACTAGGAAGTCATCCACCATTTATCGTTGCATACACATACTTCCGTCTATCAACTCGAAATGAACAAGAACACACATAAGAGCATGATAATATGGATCTATTTTTTCTTATTTCGGTGGTCTTCATCGGTTGTTTACGACTCCCTAAGATATTTACTGTGAAATATCAAGCTACTTTATTCTAGGGAGACTAGTTAAATGGGAGAACGACGTAGTGAGGTGGGGAAACTGTCTGCAGTGAAATCAGGTCAAAAGGTGGTTTGATGGTGTCATATATACAGGTTCAAGGCTTCCTGCCGATTGCTTTCCTCCAACCAACAACTGTGTAACTTAGAACAAGAAAATACGCAAGTCAGTGAGTAGGTCAGTTGGTAGTGAGAAGGCAACAAAATGTAACAGAATATAATGAGTCAAACACAGTGGATTGAGGTTAGGGTTCAAAGTTATCCAGCAGACTTTAGTGAAAGGATAGTGATGTAGCCTATTGAACGGAAGGGTTAGAAATCAAGTTACCAGGATAGCTGAAGATGGACAACGGACATTTTCCAGTACATAAATCTGCAATCAGGAGTTGGATTTCAATGGCTTCGTTGAAGCCGCAGCAGTTACATTCAGGGAATAGAAAGAAGGACTTATCTCCAATGTTTTGAACATGTCCCAAAGAGCCTATGACTGAAAGGAGCAACTATCCTCAATAGTGCGACTTCTAATCACTTATCAAACACAAGATATCAAACAGATAATTCAGAATCCTCAATCTCATCATATTCTGTTGCATTTTGTTTTCTGATTATTACTAACTTATCTACTTTTCGTCTTGTCAAGATTTCTTGCTACAAATTACACAGTATCCAGTTTCTTTTCTGCCTCCTTAGATCCAATATCTAATTTGTAAGAGAACGAGAATGGTATCATTACATGACATCCTGGCTGTATTTCAACTCGGACAATTTCCTTACTTTGCTCTATGTCTCTGGTGTCCCATTCTAACTGATTTCATCGAACTAAACGTATGTTAATATTTCACTGTAAATATTTTATATTCCAAGCAGCTGATGACAATCACCGAAATAATCAAATGAGTTCATATTATTCTGCTCCAATATTTGTTCTTGCCACTACTGTTTGGCAGTTTACGATTCCTTAGTAAATACTGGTTGTTCAGCAGTCGTTAATGTTATAATGAGTTGACGCAGGTGAGTGCTGACAATGGTTCTAATATGTTCTCTGAGCTGGGTTATTTAGTCGTGAGGCTTTCATCATCTCTATAGACAGAGACATCATCATCAGCACTAACTTCAGTAGGAAGTGACCTGTTAATATCACTCCGTGATTGATTTACTCCTGACGATGTCCTGACCATGTGGTCTGACTATTACTGACCGACTGAACAGATTTGCCTGTTGGCTGTTCCTCTGATTCACCTCTAACCTTTCTGTCGTTTGTCATTTTTCTCACTGGTTGATAGATTGGGTGTGTGTCTATACATCTGTTGATTGGTGACTGACTGGCCTGAATGTCAAGCTTGTAGGAGTTCTCTGATATTCATTGTGTTTCATCTCTCTGTCCCCAAGATTTCTGCATTGTCGAGATTGAATTCATGTGCATAGTTGTTATCCACGTGTATTGAAATGAGTGATGAAATGTCTTGACGTTTATTAACCAATGGGCGTGCCGGAAATACTTCCCATAGTTAACTTGAAAATAGGTTCATCGGTTTTCAGTTTTTTCATGAAAGTTAATAAGTTTACCAATGGATAATGATAAGCACATTTAACAATCAGAATAGAAGAGAAATCTTAAAAGTTTTTCTTACCGAAAACTCTTTGCTGATGACATGAACTTTGAAATTTGAGAATTTTCCATAATCGATTCTATCAGTGATTTGCATCATTGGTATTTTTATAACGGGTTGATTAAGTGGTTTGAAAGTATTTTCCGATGTGGAATACTTAGGAAAAGGTTTCTGCCACTTGCCTGAAACATAAATTTATAAGCGAGTAAACAAAATTAGAATTCTATTTGGTGGTTGATATTTATCACGACTGACATCATTTGGAGGAACACTGGACAGCTGTTTCGTCCCCACACAGGACTCCTCAGAAGTGGTCACTCATGACCCCGCTAGGGATGAAATCCATGACCGTCAGGTTTTTACGACCAGCAAGTTACCATTCAGCTACTGGGTCGAAATCCAATCGCCCACATTTCCTTATTTTAGTCTTTCTGCGACACATCTCTATTTCCATGCAATACCCATGTTGAACAACTGTTCTCACTTACGAATCTCATGTGGAAGCAAGTCACTAATGAACTATTCAGTACCCCTAGGTTTACAGGGGATCACCATCTGATACCAGTCTCTGATAAATATCAAAATTTAAATTAAAACTGTTAGAGAAAACCTAAGGCATCGAAAAATTCTGACCGGTTACTATCATGTTATTGGCTAGATACTCTAACAACTGATCCAAGAAATTTAGCTGCTAACCACATCTTAAGTTCGTTTTGTTCACTAAGGCGTTTGTTAGATTCCCTTTTGAATCCATGACAAGTTACTCTCCCTTTACCATGATCACACTAGCTGCCAAACCAGGCTACCGATTGACATTTTGACACTTTATTCATTGAATTTGAGGTTTTGTGGAGATTTGGTGATTTTTCAAGTCAGTATTTATTACCAATAAATCTAGTGCTCATTGGTGACTAGCTGGAGAGCTAGATAATCTCTAAAGTTCCAATGAGAAGTCGTGACCACCAAGGGAAATCTGTTGGCCATGAGGACAAATACTCGACGATGACATTGGGTGATGGTCACGCTATGTTGTGAACTATCGGAAATTGTATATGTGAACGACTGGATTCCGACCCAGTGGATGGATGGTAACATACTGGCCAGGAAACACGGTCATGGGTTCCATCACTTAGGTGCAGGGTCATGAGCACGCACGTCTGAGGAGTACCTCTTGAGGACGAAACAACTGTGAAGTACTTCCAGGTTTCCAACGTTCCTCCGAGTGATATCAGTCCATGATGAATACCAGCTTTATGAATCGAAATTCAAGAACAAATCCTCATCGAATCGCTGAGGAATTAGCCCACCTATCAGATGATCAGAATATATTCAAGACTAGGTCTGATCACAAGCTAAACGGTGTAAGTTCTACCAAATAGTTTGTCTTACATCCAGTCATTTAGGAAAACTAATTTACTACTACTAAGCAGTTAGAAATCAAATTTCCAGGTTACTTAATAATATATTGTTCTAAAATGGGAGCATGCAATTCAGAGCTTATAAGCTAACCTCATCACTATTCAAAGATCATTAGTTATCGATTGGTTTCATAATTTTCGTTCCCCTTAACTGTCCAACAGAAAACTCAATGATTATTACTGGTAAAGTGATCTTTAGACAGAAAACAAGTTTCAAGCTGAGGATAGGAATAATATCCAGCATTTTCGGAGCACGCAGGTTTATCCATGGTTGTTTCATCACCAAACCAGGTGATGTCATCAACACTTACCTCGTAACGATGCGAAGCATTTTCAAGTAGTATGAGTGTGTATTAAGGATATTTACCAGAATTGAGGGCTTTTCACTAAGTAGGGATTACCTGTCCTTCTTTCTCTCACTAGTTGAAATTTAACTCATCATTTCGACCTAATTTTTCACTTTTCTTTGGTTTCTTGTTGACTGATCTCTTCTGAGTAGTCTGTACATTGGATCCATGTAAACGTGTCTGTTACTCGCCATTCGACAACAAAACTCTGCTCTAAGGAATTCGATTTCATTCCTTCAGTTTGATTATTTTGGTATCCTCAGGTAATCCCAATCGAAGATGTGGTTATATTCATCCACATGTGTCATCATCATCATCAATATCAACACAGGACCAGGCATTATTGCCCGCACGTCGTTAAGATGAGGACGTTGTGTGTGGGGATGCATCTGCACCACTGATATCGGTTGTCAGACATATCACCTAGAGTCAATCTCCAACCACTGCCTACTCTTCTCCCATGCATTCCATCCACCTAGTCTACATCACCCCATATCGCTCAAACCAATAGTCAGACACTTCATACACTCATGCCATGTTCTAGTCTGGCTGCCTCGTGCCTTTTGCCAGCATCAACCTACCTCCACCAACATTGTGTGATGAGGCAGATGGTGGTTAGGCATAGGTGACACGTGTCCCTACCAACCATCTCAGTCGATGAAGGTTCACAACCCCATCAACTCACTCACCTCTTCTCACTCCATAAAACTCTACACCTGACTTCTGTGTTACTCACGTGGTGACACCATGGAATACGGCCTATACTAGGAAGGCGATGGTGGTCGAACACCTCCAGCCAGCCTTCTCATGTCTTCCACCTTCACTGGTCATGTTTCACAGTGGTAGAGTAGAGCAGAAAGTGATTGCTGTGCAGTACACGCGACTCTTAATAGACAATCTGATATGAGGTTGGCGCCACAGGTGGCGTAACTTGTCTAAAGCCATTCGACCCTTTTGTATTCGTGCACGTCAGTGGATATCAATGATGATATTTCATGGTGTTTCACTTCAGGTTGATGTTCATGAATATTTTGGTCTATTCCACGTCTGTATTGACCAACATAGGGATCTGGGAAGTCTTTTGAAGTCATTTTGTAGATAATGTTCGTCTTGCTCTGTGGGTCCTTCATCTTACATACATAGTTGTGCCATGCTGATGATGAATAAGTAAAGTAATCAGTTGACAGTTCCGGAAAATCTTTGATATATAATTGAGTGATTTTTCTCTGGGTTCATATAACAGTTGATTGGATCGTAAACGACTCTTGACACCTTGCAAAAGTGTTTTCTCCTGACTTCCGCATTTGTTGAGTGCTGTGCTGAGTCTTAGCACAGGCGAATGATGCTTGTACACAACTTTTCTTATGTGATGTCACCGTAGTAGTTCAAGACGATATATGTGTCGCCTTCCTGTACACTTGAGTTCAAAATCTTCCACCACTTTTTCTGCTGATAAGTACATCTAAGAACGTGATTCGATTATTTTCTTCCTGTTCTTTTTGGAGGTGAATACCTTTATAGGTTTGGTTGTTTAGACTGGAAGTGTGTTTTCTAATTTGGTAATCGAAAGCAGGTTGTCGATGTAACGAATCCAAATTTTCGGTTAAATCTCTGGAATGACTGTTCCTGCATTATCGTTCTGCTCACAACGAACTTCAGTATTTCACTTCACAGAAATTCTTTCAGTACACCAAACATTTTTGATAATTTGCTGAATATTTCAAAATATCTACACGTTTTGTAAACAGTCGCCTTCCCCCTGATTAAAAAACTTACGCGGTAATCATCAGCACCCATTGCCAATCGACTTCCATACCTTCAAGCAACACTTATTGTAGTCCAAAAACATACAGATAAACTTTGAATTCACTCAACAAATCTTTACAGACTGGTCACATGTGGAATATATTCAAGTTCTACGTAACACATCCATTGTAGTTTTCAGAAAACCGTTTGAGAGTGACCAATAATGGTTATCCAGTAGGTGTGTATTCCTCTAATCTCTTTCTACAAGTTCACTTTACCAGTCTATCCACCGAATTTTATATCGAACACAAGCCATTCCAAAAGTTCAGAAGCTCATTTACTGGGAATAATAATATGCAACAATCATTTCCTGTCTTGCCGGTTTGAGTTGTAACTGTAGCGTGCAGTTTTGCGTACTTCATTTTCAAGATAGAAATGATTGATGAGAAGTGAAATAGACAGTTTCCTTATTACTACTGACTAGTATTACAACTTGCTATTGAGTCAGGAAGGAGTGAAGTTTTTAAGTAACAAATTCGCTCTTGATGATATCATCCTTTACAGCTGCACAATCGCATCGACTCTGTACACAAAAATGTCACTTTTTGTCAACCAGTAATTGTGAGTAGTTTTAGATCATTGAAATAAAGTGAGAATAGAAATAAATTAAGAGATTTGAGCTGGAAAGTTTAGGAATTCAAAAATTAACAAGGGCAGAAAGTGGCAAAGTCGCCTCCGGATCCACGATATTGGTTTCCATTGCTACATTCCCAAACCTCTACCATTGCAAAGTAAGCGTTTCCTTGCACTCTTCGGAAGATAACATTGCATATTGTAGACCACTGAGAGCGAACCTTCTCAAACTGTGTCATCTGTCAACCAAATGCTCTGAAATGGATTCATAGACCAATCTTTATTTACCGTTATTGAGCCATGTTGGAGGGTGTTTCCCTCGACTACTACTACTACTACTACTTCTACTACTACTACTTCCACTACTACTACTACTACTACTACTACTACTACTACTACTACTACTACTACTACTACTACTACTACTACTACTACCAACACTACTAACACTACTAGTACTACTATTAATGATAATAATATTACGTTTTCAGATTGTTGTTTGACAATGAAATTGTGAGCGATAGTCGGATTGAGCATTGGGTAAATAGACATAAACGTAGGAACAACATGACTTACCTTTGAAGTACAGTGTATTGATCAGCGCTAAATAGGTATCCTTTTTCAGTGGCTGTTTCAAGAGCTCCGGTATCATTTCATTTGTTTTATTGCTGACCCATCCATTGATCTTTCGTGTAGTATCTCTCTGGTCAGAGAAATCCACCTACATTTTCAAAAAACGAGGGTCTCTTTTATTATCTCCTTAATAAGTCTAAATGCAATCTTGTCAATAACAACCTCCCTACAGAACCAATTAGTGCTTATAGGATGAGTATTGAGATACCTATACATCATTCCAGGGACTGCACTGATGCTGTAACTTGTGAAAACTGCTTACTTATACATATCTGTTCAACTGACTCTTACTTCACCATCAAGGTTTATAAATATTGGATTTATAACATTTGAATTTCACCGATGATTATTAATGTCGAATGTCGCACAAACTCGATGATCTACGGGTGAAAATTAACAAGTTGACAGAAGAGACAGCAAAGACACGACTTCAGGTGAACGTAGAGAAGACACAGGTGATGAAGACACCCTACCAACAAGGACAAGAAGAAGCTGCAATCACGATCAACGGGAGAAATCTAAAGGAAGTCGTCCCTTTCACCTACCCAGCTAGGCCAGCATCGGAAAGACAACAAGACCGGCCTTCCTGCATTAATCTGAAGTCAGTGTGGAGATCTTCTACACTCTACTGCACTGCACTACACTACTCTACACTACACTACACTACGCTCAGCATAAAGCGTGAACAACATCCAGATTTTCAACACTGATATCAGTCAAGTCAGTGCCTCCATGTGATGTCTGAGAGACTTTGCGCGTTACAAAAGCATTTCCAACAAACTACAGACATACATCACATCGCTATATGCCGCCATAGCTGACTCGATCAAATGGTTTGAAGAGTAGTACTGAGCAAGGAGAAACTATGCCTGGCTGGCTGGCTGGCAGTGGACCAACCGACCAACAACCTATGGCCAAACAAATGTGCAGAAGGAAGTGGAGATGGATTGGATTGGATTGAATGGTCTATACACTGAGAAGACGGTTGGCGGACATCACGTGCAAGGCCATGCCATGGAGTGGAGTCCAAATGGAAGACGACGAGTTAGGTGTTGGATGGTGACATGGAGAAGATGGTGTGAGGAAGAAATGAAAGCTTTTTTGTAGTTGTGGAGTCAGTTTCAAAAGACAGTAGAGAAGACAGTGAGTTACTGAAGCCGTGCATTCGACTAGGAACCCAAGGGACAAATAATAATAAATAAGTAGGCACAAAGCATACCAGGAATCAGTGATGACAATTGGCGAAACCATCTTCAAACAGATAAAGCAAAGTTAAGTATTCGCCCTCAAGATATATCTATGAAGGCTTACATATTATAATTTCATGCATATAGATTTAGTTGAATGCTGAAATGGTTTTCAAGGGGAATTTCATCCTTTTTAATGGAACAGACAATTTAGAAAGTCTATGACATAGCCTACCACTAACAACTACACACTAGTCAAATATTTCACATTTCAAAACAATTGAACATTTAACATGAAAAAGAAAGAAGCAAAGCACGTACGTTACAGACATCAGTGAAGAATTTCTTTGTCATTTTCCTTGAAAAATCAGACTTGATTTTAGCCCCATTTCTTATGAACATTCCATTTCCAATAGTGATCATTTTTTTGCCATCTACTTGCTCTGCTGTCAAATTATGATATAATGGTGTAAACAACTGAGAAATGATTTCTTGTTTCCCTGTACAATCATAGATTTCCAAAGCTTCAGCTATCTGCACTTTTGTATTACCTTTGACTCCTCCAGAACCCAAAAGTGTTGCAAGTAGTAGGAAAACACTGAATGGAGATGATAAGTAATCACCTGTTTCTGAAGTATTGAATAGTTAAACAAATAACATGTGTAATAAATGAAATCTCTTATTATTTATAAGCATATTGACCAAATTCATTAACCCATAACCTTTTAATATCTTTCCCCTACAGATTATTAAGCAATTTTTTAGTAAACTTTTCAGATAAAAAATTACTTGTCATGACTTTTTAAAGGTAGAAAATGGTTTTGGAAAAGGTTTCCTCTTTGAAAGAAGCGTAGTGTTGATTCAACGAGAAAATTCTTAAGTGTATTTGTCATTCTGCTTTTGCAGTGAAGACAGGAGTGAAACAAGGTTGCCTACTATCCCCCATGATATTCCTGATTGTGGTCGACTTGACTGGATGATGCAGCAAACAGTGGGGAGCGAGAAGAGGGGGATACACTGGCTGGACTGCGGAAAAGAACCTAGAAGACTTGGATTTCACCAACGATGACTTGTGCCTTATGTCACATAAACTTGAAGATGTATAGGGAAAAACTAACAAGTTGGTAGAAGAGGCGAGACAGCGAAGATGGGACTTCAAGTGAATATAGAGAAGACAGAGGTGATGAAGATACCGCACCTACAACTCCAACAACAACAACAAACTGCAATCACCACCAATGGGCTAAACTTAGAGGAAGTAGCCTACTTCACCTATCTAGGCAGCACTGCTTCAACTACAGGTGGCACAGGCACTGACGAGAACGTCAAAGTCAGAATCGGAAACAACAGCAAGACAGGCGTTCATTAGCCTGAAACCAGTGTGGAGATCTTCTGCACTCCACTCAGCATGTGGAACAACATCCAGATTTTCAACACCAACCCAGTCAAGTCAGTCCTTCCATGTGATGGTTGAGAGACTTGGCGCGTCACGAAAGGGATTTCCAATAAACTACAGACATTCATCAACAACTGCTTACGCTGGCTACTGAAGATCAGGTGGCAAGAATAGTTAGAATAAGCAACAAGGTGCTCTGGGAACGAACCAACCAAGAACCCATCACTCAACAAATATGCAGATGGAAGTGGAGATGGATTGAGCATGCACTGAGAAGGCAGACTGGAGACATCACGCGTCAGGCAAGTTGCTCGAGTGGAATCCCCATGGGAAGCGACGAGTTGGACGTCTGAGGTGAGGGTGACATGGAGGAGGTCATGCGAGGAGGAAGTGCGAGCTTCTGGGCTGTCATGGAACCAGGTTCAAAAGATCTCAGATAACAGAGGTCACTGGAGACGTGCTACTGAAGCCCTATGTTCCACTAGCAACCCAAGGGACTAATAATAATAATAATATTTGTCATTTTATTCACATATATGGTTTTCGTGTCGTTAATTACATGCAACAGTTGATACTTCTGCGTATAATAAATACACTAACTTCAACAATATCTTTAGAATTAAAAGTGCCAGAAAACTTCTGGTGTATGCATTTACTTCAGCAACTGGACTCTGTACAGCTGAAGTGTTATGATGGAAGTTGTATACCTCTTCACATTGTAAGAGATGTAAAGAGAAAAAGAAAGGTGAATAATAATCCTAGTAACTAGGAGAGGAATCCAGAAAGTGTGTTTCGTCCCAGTTGGGACTCAGCAGCTGGATTTGCGTGCACCTTAATGAATGTTCTTCCTACCCAAGTTTGAACTCAGTACCCATAGATTCAAACACTACAGCGTTACCAACTAAGCTGTAGTTATGCTACTTGTATTTTCCTATTTCTATACGGGGTCGAATCGTACGACCTTTATTGGGAAATAGACTGTTAGGTGGAAGCCTGGATACTGCTGTGTATTCATGCTGTGTGTGCAGACAAATATGGATCATGCAGATGAACTATTCACAGCAACAGAACAGCATAGGTGCTTACTAACTGGTCATGTTGTTCAGCAATATATTCACTAGTTCATGACGCTTTCTGCCTCAGAGATCATGTACCGTCATCTTGACTGAATGGTTTCCAAAGGAAACCCAGTTAACAACATAGTTGGGCAGCTGAAAAACTACTCAAATGTGAGAAATGTCAGTATCGACTGCACAAATTTGTAAATCATTTGCGAATTGATCAACTTATTCACCTACGAAGTTGCCAACTTTATACGGTTTCAAATTTCTTATCGAATAGATGCTTCCTTCCCCAAAAGTGATTGTCAACAATTATCAAGTTTTTATCCATGACTTCATACAGATATACATACTTTCAACCTCTAACACTGAATTCATGTTTTCTTTGGATCAAATCCACTTTCTTTATGAAATGTAAACCCACTAACCTTTATGAAGAAAACGGTAGACAATCGATTACTTTGAGTCTTACAGTAATCATCCAACATTAGACATATTATTTCAAGTATCACAATGAGAAAAATATGCAAGTAGGTGACGAAAGTGTACAGTGTATCCAACTTATATGTATGTAAATGGGGGAGGGAATGAAATGGTTTTTCTTAACAAGTCGTACTTAGTTCAAGTAAGCACTACAATACAATCCACCATAAAGTCGTTGTGTATAACCACATATTTGTCATACTTCACTAACAGTAGTTATGCTTCCGACTCGTTATCATCATCAATATCAACATAGGACCAGGCATTATTGACCAAACGTCACAGTTGCCACACCTCATCTCAGATCACTACATCAAAAAGTAAACAAGGCAGTCAAGTGGAACATAAAGAAAATAAAATCTTGTCAAAAGAAATATAAAGTGCTATAAGAGAGAAATGAAAAATGAGAAAATGGTGAGATTCGGTATAGCCTGGTTAAGATGAGGATGTTGTGTGTGGGGATGCATCTGCACCACTGATATCGGTTGTCAGACATATCACCTAGAGTCAATCTCCAACCACTGCCTACTCTTCTCCCATGCATCCCATCCACCTAGTCTACATCGCCCCATATGGCTCAAACCAACAGTCAGACACTTCATACACTCATGCCATGTTCTAGTCTGGCTGCCTCGTGCCTTTTGCCAGCATCAACCTACCTCCACCAACATTGTGTGATGAGGCAGATGGTGGTTAGGCATAGGTGACACGTGTCCCTACCAACCATCTCAGTCGATGAAGGTTCACAACCCCATCAACTCACTCACCTCTTCTCACTCCATAAAACTCTACACCTGACTTCTGTGTTACTCACGTGGTGACACCATGGAATACGGCCTATACTAGGAAGGCGATGGTGGTCGAACACCTCCAGCCAGCCTTCTCATGTCTTCCACCCTCACTGGTCATGTTTCACAGTGGTAGAGTAGAGCAGAAAGTGATTGCTGTGCAGTACACGCGACTCTTAATAGACAATCTGATATGAGGTTGGCGCCACAGGTAGCGTATCTGTATCTGTGCATAGATTTCATTGGCAAGTGACCCACCAGTGCTGATCCTACTTCCCAGGTGACATGCAAGTCATCAAACGCGCCAAGTACGCCGTTTATCATTTGAGTCTACACAATATAAAATGTAATCTGTTTGTGTAGTTTCATCTTAATATTCGATTTGAATTTTTCACGTGTCCAGCTAACAAATAACATGGTTATTCTGTATAGGAGACTTGTATTTGACCGCTTCAGATATTGGAAGCATTTCGAATCCTTTCAAATACCATGGTAACCAACTAAACAATGTCCAGGCTGCATAAATACTTCCATATTTCTCAAATTTCATTTAGACTCTGTTTTCTATCCATCCATCGATTAACCGTCTGACAACTCTGCGAGTACCAATGCCGGACAAGAAGATTTCAGGTATACTGTGTAAAATATATACTGGGGGCAGCTAGTATTGACCTTCCCGTCAATTACACCACCTATTGGTCGGTGTCGCCGGTCACCTTGTAAATATGAACCTCACACAACGTAATCCATGGAAGTGTTCTTCTCACGCTCCTTTAACGTATCCTTATAAGACTCCAAAGATGAAAACTTGGTGTGACAAAAGTGCCTCATAATTATTGATTCATCATCGGTGAGTGCATTCAGAGGGTATCATCGCTTGTCGTGGAAATTTAGTAACAATTCACGAGTTTGATTTGTCCCATATTATTTCCGACTATGTGCTACCAGTCACATGGGCTGATTTGTCATCAGTTTCGATTTGATGACAAATGACAGATGTAGTAGGAGGGAGGGATTGGGAAAACTTATATCTCTGAAAATTATTTTGTCGTTGTGTGAATGTAAATCACATTCCACACCTACACTAATAACAAATCACTCTCCGTTCCAGCTTTGCTGAAATTCACTCATTAGTCGTTTTGCCCTAATTATCTTTGTCATGGCAATGGTGGAGAGTGCCTAGTAGTGGAATTTAGTGTATGCATTACGTCCTATTCGGGACTCGTCAGCTGGATGCCCCTGCCTCTCAGCAAGTGTTGTTCCCACAGGGATATGAAATCAAGGCCGATTGATTCAAACGATAGTGTCATCCACCAGCCACACACCAGGAGTGGCTATCGTGGGTAGGTGGTGTGAGACGAAATGCGCATCCTGAATTCCACTGCTAGCCACTATCCATCATTACCAAAATTAGAAAGCAGCTTATTTCGAGGCCTTCACACAGGAGCCCATAGATACCAATCAATTCGATCCAATCAATGACGGTATAATACAAGCAACTATACTATCATTCTCATATATTACACAATCACTGAAACAGAAATTTCTGGTCTATCGGACTAAAGATACACTTTCCTCACCATTCTGCGTTTCAATATTCTTGTGCACATTTTGAATAGTGTGACATTTATTTTGTCACTCAACTAAACAGTAGGTATCATGAAACCTCTTCACAAGACGCAAGTCATACAGTCATTCTTCCACCAATGACACCACCAGTTTATTGTGTTGACATACAAATGCTTGTTAGCGATTCCCATTATATGTTATTATTATCATTATTATTTGTCCCTTGGGTTCCTAGTGGAACATAGAAATTCAGTAGCACATCTCCATTCCACTCTGTTCTCTGCAATCTTTCGAACCTGATTCCACGATTACCCACAAACTCTCATCTCCTCCATGTCACCATCAAATAGGACGCCCAACTACTCGATTCCCATCTGCGATCCACTCGACGGCCTGGCCTGGTGCGTGATGTACCCAGTCGACCATCTCAGTGCATGCTCACTCCAATCCATCTCCACTTTCCGCTTCGGCATATTTGTTTGGTGATAGGTTCTTGCTT